ATCAATCAATCAATCAATCAATCAATCAATCAATCAATCAATCAATCAATCAATCAATCAATCAATCAATCAATCAATCAATCAATCAATCAATCAATCAATCAATCAATCAATCAATCAATCAATCAATCAATCAATCAATCAATCAATCAATCAATCAATCAATCAATCAATCAATCAATCAATCAATCAATCAATCAATCAATCAATCAATCAATCAATCAATCAATCAATCAATCAATCAATCAATCAATCAATCAATCAATCAATCAATCAATCAATCAATCAATCAATCAATCAATCAATCAATCAATCAATCAATCAATCAATCAATCAATCAATCAATCAATCAATCAATCAATCAATCAATCAATCAATCAATCAATCAGCTTATAAAGCGCTATTTCCGCGATGTTCAACAGCGCTCCTCAATGAATTTTGAAAACAGATGGGTCCTGAGATCCGCTCTGAACTTCGCAAGAGATGGAGAAGTAGTCAGAGAATTAGGTAGAGAGTTCCAGAGAAAAGGACCAGAAAAATGTTGGACATTCCGCTTAGTTAAGATTTACTCTTTTGGAATGCCCCATTTTGTAACAAATTTATTGTTTGTTCATAATAAACGATTTGATTTGATTTGTATATATACACATACATGTATACATGCATGTGTATGGATAGACGGATGTGTTGTATGTGCTTTTATATCTTGTTGTATGCTTGCTCCCTTTTGCCGGTGTTGATGTACGTGTATAATATCTCACACTTGAATATATACACAATTTGATGAGCATTTTGGTGTGCATTTTTATTAGAGACCCAAAATTTTCAAACCCCTGCGAAAAGTGCGTTATTCAAAAAACCACCAGCAAAATTAAATTTTCAATTTTTCAGGTTAAAAAATGTTGTTTTTACGTCGTCGTTTATGTTCTTCTTGTTGTTTTAGCCGATGTTGTTTCAATTATTAAATTAGAAATTTTTTAAATTGAAAGATGTCTTCTCAGCAGATTTATCAGCTGTCTGACTAAAATTATATTGTAAATAGACTGCCTTCTAGTGTTGCTATCTTCTAATTTTAAACATGAGATTAAGACGGCCGATTTAGGTTGTCTTTTCGCGAGTGCGGATGTGGTACGGATAATGAGCAGTGCGGATGTGATCTCTGTGAATACGGGCAGTTGGGCATATGATTCTAACATCCAGAAGGGATTTTTGACTTTAACCTTTTTGATTATCAAATTAGTTTTTTATCACTACTTACCATAAAGAAAGTGTCCGAAACACTATTTTTATAGAAATTAATACAGATTTTAATGCAAAATTATGAAAAAAAAATAATAAATTACTAAAAACAACCAATAGTTTGATCCAAACTATAAAGTTCAAACCATATATATCATGGCTCAATCCATCTATACCATCAATTAGAATCATCAGTCAAAAAAAATTTTAATTGGTTAAAAGTGGTTAAAAGTGAACGTTGCAAACGTAACGAACGCGCACGCAGATCATCTGTTTATTTTTAGCAACTAATTTTCATAAGGAAAAAAATTAGTAATTAGGGAAATCTCCGACTTTAGCACCTGCAAATGATATTTAAATTTTAAGATAAATAATTCAATTTTGTCATTAAATAATTAATTAAATCTAAGATGGGTTGTGTTGTTGGCTCTCTGGCTTCTTCGGTTATTAGTTTTTTTTCTTCAAAAAATTAAAAATAAATAAAAGAACAATGAGAAGAAAGATTAATCTTCGTTGTTCAGTTCTTTCAAATTTTTAAACTACAAGAAATTTAATTTGTACATGAAAAATCGACGTAGGTAAGTCATCTCGTTCTAAATAGTGGGAAATAAATATTTATATTAGTAATAGTAATACTATAGTAGTGAAAAAACTTTATGGTTGTGTCACCCACCACACAGATGCCAGCAGATGGTAATGAAATAATTTATAATGATGTCTACTATACATGTGTTATTGTCATATAAGGATAAGCCCTTAGTTTTAAAATATTGATAACTACTTTTTTCATATAAAATACACATTTTTATTAGCTAATTATTGAATTAATGTGTTCTCACTAGGTGGCCTGTTGCTTCGGCAATGCAGCCTGCAGTTTATGCTGTAGCATGTGCCCATCGACTCGTAACTCGGTGGCCACTAGAATTGCATATGCCATTGTCCTCTTATTGGGCACCATTGTGGCGTGCATCATGCTGAACCCCTCCGTCGGTGCACAGCTGGCCAAGGTTCGTGATTCGGAATTTGTGGTTTTATTTGTTTTTTTTAATTTACTTAAATTAATTAATAAACTGTTATAACACCAAAAATATGGCTGCGGTAATATTGGTGTAGAATATTCTTTAAAAATTTTCCAGCTTGATTTTTTGTGCAAGCCGACAACTTTCATCCCCGGTTACACGATTCCGTCTCTTGACTGTCAATCATTCGTTGGCTACATGGCTGTCTACAAGGTTTGTTTCTCAATGGCTTGCTTCTTCTTCCTCCTCTGCGTCATCATGATCAACGTTAAGACATCCAAAGATCCTAGATCTGCTGTTCAGAATGGGTACGTTTTTAATTGTTGTTGTTGATGGTATCGTTGTTGTTGATGGTATCGTTGTTGTTGAATTGTTGTCAGAGTTGATGTTTTTGTTGGTGGTTTGTTTTTTGCTGACAAAATTTGGCATCCTTTAAAATGATTTCATTATTATAACTGCTGCAGGTTTTGGTTCTTTAAAATCCTATTGCTAGTTGGGATCTGCATTGGGGCTTTCTTTATAACTGGAGAAAATGAGTTGAAGTTCAGACAAGGTGTTTAGCCACATCATCCTATCACCATCTCACTCAGAATTCTACTTATCACCATCTCATCACATCATTATGTTACCATCATCATCCTCATAACCATCATCTTCATTCACTCTTCGTCATCTCTTTCTCTCTCTCTTTCTCTCTCTCTTTCTCTCTCTCTCTCTCTCTTTCTCTTTCATCTCATTCCCAAACTCATCATATCACGGACATCACCAACAGCCTGGATGGTGATTGGGATGATCGGAGCGTTCGTCTTCATCCTCATCCAACTCATCCTTCTTGTCGATTTCGCCCATTCCTGGAATGAAAAGTGGATCGGTCGCTATGAGGAAACTGAGTCGAAGGCCTGGTTTGCTGGTTGGTTTTGATGAATGAATGAATTGGTATATGGTGAGTTAAGGAATGAGTAACTGATTAGTTGATAAGTTTGTGAGTTAGTAGTGTTTTAAGAAGATTGTGAAGAAATAAGTAAGGAGACGTTAATGTGTGTGCGTGTGTCTGTCTAACTGTTTGCCTGAGTGTGTGTCTTTGCGTGTGTGCGTGTTTGTTAGTGTGCAATCACACGCGCAATTAAAATAGAGTTAATTAGATTTCGGCCATTATGTCACTAATTATCTTTCACTGTGGTTTCTACTCATTCTGTCAAACTTTAGTAATCATCAATGTAACATCATCTCCGTAACATCATCCTCTTACTCATTACTATTATAACCATCATCATTCTTATCATCGTCAACATCATCACCAATAACATTAGCATCATCATCATCATCATCATAGGGCTCCTCTTCTTCACGGTGCTGTTCTATGCCCTATCCTTAACCCTGGTCGTCATTTTTTACATTTACTATGCCCATGATGTTAGTCACGTGATGTTGACGACGATGATGATGACGATGGTGATGATGATGAATATATTATTGTTGTTGTTGCTTATTACTGAAAATTTTGAAGGGGATTTAAATTGAAAAAATTAATTTATTTAGGGTGATTGTGGATTGCACAAATTCTTTGTCTCATTCAACCTTATCATCTGCTTTGTGCTATCCGTCTGCTCTATTCTACCCAAGATACAGGAAGGTCGGTTGCACGATGATATACATGATATACTATCATAATTAGGCATAATTATCTATAAATTAACATAAATTATTTGCATAATTAATCGACCAGCCAATCCAAGATCTGGATTGCTGCAGTCTTCTCTGATCACCCTCTATACCATGTACCTCACTTGGTCCGCCATGACTAATAATCCAAGTTGGTTGAATTGTTTTGTTGGTTGGTGGGTTGATTGATTGGTTGATGGGTTGGTTGATTGTTGGACTGATTGATGGATGGTGTACCTTACAACAGATCACAGCTGCAATCCCTCATTCACTGAAATCCTGAAACCTCTGTATCCCACTAACTCCTCTATTCCCGGCGGCAACAGTACGGACGGATACATGGATATCTCGAATGGTGTTGGTCTTGATTGGAAGAGTATCCTCTCCCTGGCTATCTTCCTTGCCTGTGTGCTATATTCGAGGTCTTTGGTGGTGATCATGGGATGTGTTGATGTCATTTAAATACATAAATCTAGACGCAAATACCTAAAGAATATTAGAATATACGGATGGCGTAATAGCTAAGACGCCTGATCCTGCTGCTGTTGCAGTGACTGGATTCGAACGCAAAGTGATCCCAGAAGCTATCACATGCAATGTATGTAGTGCGTGAATTCAGATATATTCACCTGTGTCGTGTGGGCTATTTGTCTTTGAAAATAATTTAAGAGAGAAATATTATTAATAATGTAGTTATTATTATTATTTGTTTTTATTATTTGTCTTTATTTATCTTGAATATGAACAAAAATCCTTGCATATGTAAAACACACACACGCTCACTAATTAGCATTAAGTCGACGATGTACGGAAAAATAATGAGGAAGCCCTCTGACGAGATTGCTGCTTTGACTGAGGGTTGTTGAAATGAAACAAATAATTATAATTAAATATATATTATAATTAAATAGTGATTATATTTAAATGGTAACTATAATTAAATATTTAGATAAATGATCGAATTCGTAACTTTTTCTGGTAGTTGTCGTGAGCATGGTAACTCAAAACACACAGTATTACTTAGTAGTAACGTATTAAGTATCCGTGACGGTAGAATTTTTTAAATTTTCTCTAGATGAATTAAGAATTGAATTACGCTGGGGGATAGATAGATGGCGCTTTGGTGCTGTTTTTTTTTTGGTTTTATGTCAGTACCTTTTTTAATTTGTTGCCTGTCAGATTTTGTGCTGGTTGTCGCATATTATTTTGTTTCAATTTTCGTTCATCCGAGTTTAATTTTTTAAATTTTTCGATCTAATGAATGAAATTAATTTAGCAACTTATTCGAACTTATGTTCTTTTTTGTGTCCGTTTGGTTTTTATAGATTAAAAAACCACAGCAACAACGTCAGCCATAGCAGTAATATATCTATCATTATTATTATTATTTATATTATTACATTTACGGTTATTATTATTATTATTAATTATGCGTGAATAGTATAAGGACGAGCTCGATGAATAATATGACTAAACTGAACATTACCGGAAGACAGGATGGGATACTAGATGATGAAAGTGAGTGAGTGAGGTGATGACGACGACGATGTGGTCGTGGTGGTGATGATGATGGTGGTGGTCGTGGTGGTGATGATGATGGTGGTGGTCGTGGTGGTGATGATGATGGTGGTGGTCGTGGTGGTGATGATGATGGTGGTGGTCGTGGTGGTGATGATGATGGTGGTAACGATAATGATGATGGTGGTAATGATGACGATGACGCAATTGTATTTTACTATACAGGATGTTATTTTATTTAAGAATTTTAGGACTATAAGAACGGCATGTGCAAGAATAATGTGATTAAATTTTATTATTATTATTCTATAAATTTTTTTAATTAATTAAGTATCCTAAATTTATACACAGATAGTATTAACACACGCGCAAACACGCACCACACAACAATAGCATGTTACGTGTGTCTATGGTATTAATTCGGAATGCTAATTATCAAATTACTATTGACTTGCATGTTGTGTGCATGTGTGTGTTAATATGGAGAGAGAGAGAAAGAGACTTGATTTGCTTGTTCATATATTTATAATTGTTGTTCACCTGATTTTTCCAGATTTGATAATTAATCAAGGTATCACTGGTTTTGTTTAGTTTCTTCTTTTGTTTTAGTTGGAATTTTTTTAATTCATTCATTTATTTTCTGACGATCCTATCTTTCTGCCTGTGCGTCTGTGTCTGTCTGCCTGTCTCTCTATCTATCTATCTATCTATCTATCTATCTATCTATCTATCTATCAGTCTTTGTCTGTCTGTGGTTTTTCTATATATCCTTTTCGTATATTCTTCTATCTTTTTACATTTCAACTACCTATCTGTTTGTCTGTGTCTGTGTCTCTTTGTCTGTGTCTCTTTGTTTATGTCTCTTGGTCTATGTCTCTTTGTTTATGTCTTTTGGTCTATATTTCCTAGCCTGTATCACTGTCCGTCTGTTTGTCTTCATTTCATTTATTCATTTACCATGCTATCAAAGTTTTTTTATTCAATAATTATTTTTCTAAAATTGTTTTTTTTTTCAAGTTAACAAAATTAATTAGTTTTTTGGTAATTTAATTTCTGCTTATTATACTACATATAATAATTAATTAGCTATAACATAATTGGCTTATTAACTTTGCTAACTAATTATAATTTGTAAATGAAAAATTATTTACTCATTTTAAAAGATTTTAAAAGTTAATTTCATAAATCATTATGAAGATTGATTGATCAATGCTTATTATTGTTGTTGTTATCACTGAAATATTAATAATCATAATTATCATTATCAACATCATTGTCACCATCATTCAAATCATCATCATCGCCGTCGTCAGTGTTACTATGATCATCCTATCATGGCTATTATTGTCATCATTATCTTCAACAGTATCGTTATCATTACCATAATCATCATCATCATCAACATCATCACTATAACCATCATCATCTTCACCGTAAACATTTCCAACATCGTCGTCACCAGCATCAGCCGACGCCGGCGAATCTGGTGGAAAATCGATCGATGATGAAGGTGATGGAGTTGCTTACAGCTACAGTTTCTTCCACTTCATCTTCCTGCTCGCATCACTCTACATCATGATGACCCTGACCCATTGGTACAAGTATGTGGGTCGATTGGTTGGTTATTTGGTTGGTCGGTCGATTGATCGATTTTTTTAAACTTGTCTGTCGTTTTCCAGTCATTCAATAATTAATTAAACAGATTTTTCATAAAATCTTGCTGTCAGATTTTTCATAAAATCTTGCTGTTAATCTTATTTATCATCAAGATAAGCAATAAGCAGATAAGCAACAAATAAACGTAATACTGTACTAATAAATAATATAAATAATAAACACCAGACCGTCAGCTGACATAAAGTACATGGTGAGCAACGAACCGGCTATGTGGGTGAAGATCTCGTCAAGCTGGGTCTGCCTGGCTATCTACGGCTGGACCCTAGTGGCTCCCATCGTTCTCTCTAACAGAGAATTCAATTAGTGGAGTGAGGGAACGGAAAAAGTAAAAGAGAGAGATTGATTGAATGAATTAATCATTAATTAATTAATTAACTCATTAATTTTTAATGAGTAATTGAGTTAGTGAATGAGAAAAAGTTAAAAATAATGAGAAAATGAGGTAGAAAATGCAAGAAGAAAGTGAAAGGAAGATATTTGGATGATATGATATAAAGTATAATTTTTGTTGTTAATTTATTGTAATTTTGAAATTTTTCTGGAATCAACACTATAAACATTTAGCACTAAATGTGTGTGTGATTTTGTGGCGACATGTATTTGTGTGTGTATAATGTGTTTAATATGAATCAAAAATCCTTTCAACTTACGTATAATATAAACCATTAATGGACTATAACAGCTTATCAAACACATTATCATCTGGCTGGCTGGCTATTTTTAAAATATGAAACACTGTAAACATTTAAAAACATGTAAGTGAACGATGTTTTTAATTTTGTAACAATGAAAATTTGTTTTCAATTAAATTTTTTTTTTTTTTTTTTTATCACAAAGTTCTTTATTGACGCGTGTATTCTTCGATAAAGTTGTCAGATATAATTCTCAAAGTTGTGTTCGTTCCTGTTCTGCAGCAGACTTGATTTTCATTGCTATTCATAGAGTTAGATTAGATAATCTGTTGTACGCAATTTTTATTACAAAGTCGAAATGTTTAACTTTGCCATTTAGTAACGAGGGATAGTCGTGCTTAGGCTTAAACTCCTTTCATTCTACATCCTCTTGTGTTTAGAGTACCTAGAATCGAATACTTACATCCCTCAATAGTTCAAAGAAAAACAAAATAAACAATTCAATTTTGAAATAGTCGTCTTTGTTGAATACTGTTACAGACGTGAAGGCGAGATAAGAATTAGAATAAGAATTAGATAAGGATTAAAAAAATTAAAACAAAATAATTAAAATAAAACAAAAATTAGGGAAAAATAATCAAAATTACTGGCACATTATGGCACCACCTTGGTAGCTGCAGTGCCGTTAAAATCTTCATTGAAAAAAAAGAATTAGTTGGTAGAAATTAAGTGAAGCGCTTGAGTATTTAATTAAGAGGCGGAGCTAGTAATAAAAACGGTTGTAAAAAAAAAGTCACTATATAAGATTTGAAGTGAAGCGCTTGAGTATTTAATTAAGAGGCGGAGCTAATAAAAAAAGGTTGTAAAAAAGTCACTTTGTAAGTGACTTTACGATTTTTAAGAGTAATTTATTGTTTATGTTACTCCTAGTATAAATAAACGTTCGACTTAGTTTGCGATTAAATTAGTTGTGTTCATCTATCGGAGATCTTGAACCAACGGATAAACGAACTCTTGACTATCGTTGGAAGTTACAACACTGTGTTGGTGATATAGCAATTACTGACAATATTCAGCTTAATTTTTTTTACAAATACGAAATGAAGTCGTCAAGAGTAAAATTTAACTTTTCTGACGATTTCCTATATGACACGAGGTAATTAAAATTTTTTTATAATAATGCTTTGTAAATTATTTTTTGTTAGTCAATTTAATTTTAATATTTAATTAATTAATTAACCATGCCTGGCTCTTATTTTTATTTTTTACTTTTGTCGACAGTTAAATTATGAATTAATATTAAAAATTTATTTAACAACGACAAAAACAGTTCAGATTCAGAGGAAGAAGAGTGCAACAGAAGTAGAAAAAAGTTTAATGACTCAACATACCTCGATTTAAATGGTGCCCATGGTGCTACTCCAAAGAAGAAGAAACAACAGAACAAACTCGAGATTGATGAGGTGTCATCATCCACTGAAGATGAATTTGAATTGGAAATGAGTGAAGAGTTGAATGATGAAATGAAAAAATTTGAAAGCTGTCAACCTGATTCTCAAAGTTTGCTATATTTTTTTATTTTTTTGTTTGTTTAATGAGTTTAGTCACTAAATCAATTTTTAATTTAGTTTTTTTAGATTTACCTGTTTATTATCCTAAAATTACTAAAATAGCATATATAAGTTTATTTAGTATTTTCATATTAGTATTCTCAACTATTCAAATTAGTATGATTATTGTTATTATTCTGGTTGAGATATTTATATAATTGTATTCTCAACTATTCAAATTAGTATGATTATTGTTATTATTCTGGTTGAGATATTTATATAATTGCTTGGATATCAGTGTTTTAAAATATTAAAAATTTTTTGACAGATCCAGCAGATAAAAGTGGAAGTAGTAACAAAGCTGGAATGGGATACTACAACAATATTTATTTCGACTCAGATGATGAGGCCTCTAGTGATGGTATGTATGTGTGTGTGTGTATATGTGTGTGTGTGTATGTGTTTGGTTTATGTGTGTGTGTGTGTGTGTGTTTGTGTGTGCACACATGTTACAATTTTATTTATTTAATCATGTAATATTAACTTAACTTTTCTTTTTATACATTTTGATTTAGTTTTCATTGTTTTCTAGTGATCATTGTTAGAAAATGATAAAATCGATAAAATTTGAATTTAAAAATTCAATGATTTACGTTAGATTAAAAATTCCACCATTTATTTAAATATTATTTCCTTACATGCAGCTGAAAAAAAGAAAAATCACCCAGTGTTAACGAATGATGAACTATTGTACGATCCGGACATGGATGAGGAAGATCAGAGATGGGTGAACAAACAACGTAGAAAATATCAACCAACTAAAAGTGGATCCAACAAAAAATCTCTGAAGCTTCCTAACAGTGATGCTGTTTTGAACTGCCCTTGCTGTATGATCTTACTCTGCTTAGATTGCCAAAGGTTTTTAAGTGTTTCTTTAAATTATATTTTTATTTAATTTTACATCAATAATTAATAAATAATTTTTTCTTAAGGTATTGAGAATATTACCTAACTAAGCAAACAAAAATAATTTCTACCACATCAATCTAATAACAACAGCATATCTCTACAATATTAAGTTTCAAAGATTCTTAAATGTTCCATATGATTTTTGCAGGCATTCCATGTACAACTCACAGTACAGAGCCATGTTCGTCACAAACTGTAGAGTAATACGCAATGAAGTTCTGAAGTACTCACTCAAAGATGAAAAAAACAAATCAAAGAAACAGAAAAAAAACGGTAGAACTGCTTCAGTGGAAGAAACTAATGCTGCTTCTAATGATAATAATGATAACAGGGAAGATGGCGATGACGGTGAACATGAAATGTATCACCCAGTACATTGTGAAGCCTGTAATACAGAGGTGGCGGTCTTTGACAGGGATGAAGTTTTTCATTTTTTCAATGTACTCGCTAGCCACAGCTGAAACTATTTTTTGCGGATTGATTGTCATGTGTATATATTTACGTGTATATGATTGTTTAGTTATTTACTTTATTTTCTGTTTTATTTAATTAATAAATATTGAAAATCTGAAGTGGCGTGTCATGCTGTTTTTACGTGATTTCAAGCACATATGTGTGGATACCAGATAAGAGGATTCTTCGTTTTGATTTCGGGTTTACTTTGTGCAAAATTCTTAACAAAGAGTTTTAAATATTAATAAGCTTCAACTATTAATTAGCTTTAACTATTAACTAATAATTCTAAGTTTATTTGAAATTTTTAACTTAGATAGAATATTTTCAAAATGCTACTGGTCTTTCCAGACTTTTAAATCAACTTTCATGGATTTTACGTAAATAAATATTAAAAGATGAATTGATGAATTAAAAAAATTCATCCGCATCGACTATTGAAATATTCGTAATTTTTTCTTTTTGTGAAATTTAAATTTAGCATTGAAACTTCGTAAAAATGGAGTTTAGTTCGCCGAAAGATGAAAAAAGAAAGCGAGTTGGCAGTCAGCAACAACGCGCAAACATCTCGTCTTCGTCTTCTTCGAGTAGTGCGCCTAATCCTAACGGTAATATTAATAAAGATAAACCTAACAACAGTAGCTTTAATTCCCTTCCTTCCTCTGCGACGACTATCAAGAGACCCCCGCCCAACACTGACAAACTTGAAAATGATTTCCTAACTGATTATCAATTTCAAAATATTTTCGATTTTCCACGGAAACAAAAAGAAAAAGATTCTAGTAGGGAAAAACCGTCGACGTCATCGTCATTTTCATCTCATTCCGAATCCCAAATACTTTTGAAAAAAAACGACTCAGCAAAGGAAAACTTGCCATCAACATCTCATCATTCCACTGTTAGGAAAAGAGAACCCACAGACAATCCTAACAGCAGTTGTGAAGATGGCGTTGCCGATGCCACTGAAAACGTTCCCCGTCGATCCGGTTCTTATTCGTTGCCAATGTCACTTTCGTTTGGCAGTAATGTCAAGAAAGTCAGTAGGACGGTCCCTGCAATCAATTGTAAAGAAAAAATTGTAAGTGGAGGTAGAAAGATAACTGACATTTATTCTATAATGAGTTGTTTATTTGTTTGTCCATTCTTATAGTCACTCATTTATTTTATTCTTTTTTCTCTTTCTTTTTTTCTTCAATATTTTGAAAGAGATACAAGCTCTCTTTGGCTAATTTATGTTCTAAATTAATTATTTTATAGTTAATATTAATTAATATAAATGAACAAAGAAATGAATGACATAAATTTTAAATTAATATATTTTAAATTAAAATTAATTTGATCATTTCAGATATTCTGTATCGACATATCAAAGGAAATGTTTCATACAACATTCAATGAGTAGTTTATTTATTTATTTTTAGTTATTAGTTTAATGACTCATTAATTATTTCACAGTAGATCTGTATTTTTATTTTATTTTATAAATAATAACTGTTATTAATTACTATTTAAAATAAATTAATATTTCATTTTTTATTTAATTTGAAAAAATCATTTACAACTTATATAAATAAAAGATAAATAAGCAAAACTTTTCTTCCTTACAAGCGATCAACCAGTAAATACTCCTCCATTCATCCAGTATCTTAAAAAAGCCATGCATATTTTCATGGTCAACAAATCTCGAATCAACAAATTACATGAATATTCCATTATCCTTCTCAGTAAAACGGCTTTATGGGTAGGCAGTTTGTCTATGCATTCTTTTATTCACTTACCCAACCATTTATTCATTCATACATACACACCACACACACACGCATCCATTCTTTTCATTCCTTAAATTATCTCAATTATTTGATAATTATTGTAGGTGACTGATTTCACCAGTGACATCTTCAGAATTTTAGACATGTTGAAAGAGTTGCCAGAGTCAGATGCCGTTGAATTAGACGTGAATTCAATATTTCAAACAATGTCTGCAATAATTATTATACTATTAGTATTATTAAACAATACACATTACAATATATTATACAATAGTATTATACTACTTGGCGTCTTTTATAAGTATTAGTAATAATTCTCTCTTGGTTAGTCTTCAGAGGTATTAGACACACTCGCACACAACGCACGCACACTAGTGTGTGTGTGTGTGTTCTTTTTATTACCATTTTACCATATCCTAGTTCATACTCCTTTTATTATTATGATTTACGTACATTTTTCGTTTTTCTCAAATTTACAAATTTGCCCTGAATGACCCTACACCCCTTCAAACACAGACAGAAGCGCATCACCATGAACCAGGAATCCATAGATGAAATGAAGACCCCGGCGTATGTCTATAGGGCTATCCTCATTTATGCCAGGCAATTCCACATACCTGCCATTGATTTAGTGCATGTTAGTTTTGGCGTTATTTTTTTTCAAGTATTTATTTTGGTATAAAGTTTTGTTTTGGAAAAGTGTTTGACATGTTTTATTTTTATATAAATTAATTTTTTGGAAAATACGTCTCTTGTAATCAATTTTTTAACTTAGTTTTAGCATAATCGTTTGTTTGGAAGATTAAAAAATATTTTTCTTTTCCCCTAAAGAATGAATTCTTTCAGAAATCCGAACAATTCGTAATGGACGTCATCTACCTTTATAATGAAACAATCAATGATAACAATTCTACTGTTAGTAGTGCAGCAGAATTTCATGGGCCACTACGTCATTTTTATAGTTACCATTAATTAATACCATCGCGACACGTATTAAACACGTATATACGCACACAATCAGACAGAAACACACAAACGTTATTTCTTACTCGCCCTTTCAGATATTAATCAACATCATATTTCCAAACACAACAGCAAATCTTCAAGAACCTATGCACCCTGGACTTCCAAGGGGTCTCCTATATAATGGGAGCCTCAAAACCCGCAGAATTGTACAAATGCTTTTCGCAGATGTTGGGCCACCCGTACCAGAGGCCAATACAGAAAGATGCACACCTAAGGATAAATTAATCAAATGTTCAATAGTTTCTCTCAGTTCTCTTAGTTTTTCTTAAATTTTGATATAGGAGTCAAATTTTGTATCCATTTACTAATCAGTTCAATGTTTTTTGTTATATTTTTGTGTAATTTTTTTATTTATACTTGATGATTTCAAACAAATTTCAATTCTATATCAAAAGCTGCTAGTTTTATTATTATTTTACCGATAAAAATGTATTTGTAGTATAAAATTGGAATAATAATCTAAGGATAGATGTCTTGTAATTTTTGCAGAGATGGCGATTTAACGAATAACACAATTTAATTCACGAAAAATGACGGTAATCGCCGAATGATTCGTAATTTTATATAATTGACCACAGCCGGCCGAAGAAATTTTGCAGAAAATCTTTTTTCTTATTTTTCGAATCGCTACCAGCCAAATTTTTCTTGTTAACATGATCGGCGACCTCTGCCCTAGGAGTGGATTTTTCGATTTCCAAATCCTTGCCAAAATCATCTGTGACCGCTACTGCGTTGGGGACGTCTTCACCTATTTCTGTTTGATTTTCATTTTGTTCATAGTTAATAATGTTTTTATTTATTATGAACTTTCTCTAATGCTTATTAATGCTATACGGGCAATATTTGTATGTTTAATCAACGAGCTTAATTAATTCTTCAATTTAAATTTCTTTTATTCATAAAGATTTAATTTTTAGCTTATTCTATTCTAAAGTAATTAAAATAGTGATTCCATGTGTTTAATAAAATCAAAGTCACCTATTATTATTATTATTATTAATCGAGGAATGAACATGAATTAAATAAGGATTAAAGTTAAATTTAAGTACCCCTAAACAAAACTTACTGAGTTCACAGTAAGTGCCCGTGTATCCAGGCAAGCAGTCGCAGATGTTCTGCTTATTATCATTACACTTTCCACCGTTTTGGCATATGACTGCCTTCTGGCATACACCTGAAAACGAATAAAAACGTTTTTGAGAGTCAACGATTTTAAGACAGTGTTAGTCATAACTGTGACAAAATATTGATGGTTATTAAAATATATGGCTGAAACAATCAGCTTTGGTAGCAATAAAATGTGCATACAAAAAGGCGTGATGGAAAATTGGACCAACGCATATATCCTCTACAAAATGCCACAAGGCCACTTATTTTCTGGTTCCAGAACCATTTTGCATCATTTCCAACTCCGGGAATGGCAGGGGTGTACTTGGGACAGGTGCTGTGGTTGCCATTGACGCCCAGGGATGCGCTCGGTAGGTAGTCAGAGTCGTTGTGTCCGAGAAGGAACCAGCCGGGTCTGGGCTTGTCTGTGCATCGCCAATCCAAGTTCAGGGTGCCTGCGTTGGTTAAGGTAATAGTGATTGTTGATGGGAAGTTTAAAATTATCAAAATGATATTCAGTAAATTTATTAAATATTAAGTAAAATACTAATAAATATAAATTATTTTAAAAATTTTACTCAGAATGCCGGAGCAGAGGGGGTTGAGATCGTCGGCATTGTGTGCAAACACAGACACAAGTCGAGCGTGTGGGTGCATGCTCAGTGTGTCAGTTTTATTCCAGATTGCAGGGTAGGTGAGATTTCTGGCGGAACTGTCAACGTACAACGAAGAAATGGTAGATTTTGCTGTGATATCCAAGGTGCTAGGTGTCACTGCCAGGTGGTTCAACGTTAATTATTCCATGATTTTTACATTATGAATGCATATTTTGTTGTTCCTTCAATTATATGTTCAGTTATAAATTAAACTTTTTTTTTAAACACTCCCTAACAGTGATTTTAATGTAGATGTAACATTTTAGTTCTCATTCTTTCACTCTAACTTTTCTCTTAATTCATCATTCAGAAATTGCCTGTTAATGAGTAGAATTGAAAAGAATTTTAAAAAACCCTACAAGATGTACAGAACATTCCAGAATAGCCAGGTAAACAAGTGCATATGTTGGGCTGGTTCATGTTGCACACCCCTCCATTGCGACATGGTTTGTTCTTGCAAACATCTGAAAGTTAATAAGTGAGTGCTATCCTCATTATTCAACATCTCAATCAATTTATAAACATTTATTTTGAAAAACACTCCTTTCACATTCAACATTTATGTCTTTATCGTCTTCATCATACCCATCATCTTTATCATCACTTCCCGTCATCTTCATAACTTCCATCATCATCCACGTCATTTTCATCATCACTTTTGAAATAGAAACTGCAAAAAACTTAAATCAGTTTTTTGAAACCCACCAAAATAGCCCCTGCAGTAGACAACCATATCATGCTCCCTGCTATTCGTCCATATCCAGTGGGCTTGAGAGCTGATCTCCTTCACAATCCCTTTCGAACAATCCATCCCAGTCCCACTGTTAATGCCCCGTGTAACGGCCCTTGTCCAGTTTGAATCCTTAAATTCCCAAGATGCCCATCCCAATCTGATAGATATAAAAAAAGTTGATTTTTGTAAACCATGATAAAAATCTATTGAATTAGCATTCATTACTTCTATAGAGCAAGTTTATAAGTGAACGAAATATTTTCATTTTCATCAACAAACTTGGCATTATTTGAACATCTCCATTCTGTTGATGAGTAAAAATAATCGTAGTTTGAAGAGGCCAGTATCCCAGCACATGCACTGTCAATGTTGTCAGCCATAACAGCCACTAATCGACTGTAGTTAGGGATCGTCAGTGAGGTGGGCTTGTCCCAAACATCTTCATTTGTTAAATTGTATATCCTCACACCATCTATGTAAACAGCACGCAAACTGTTCATGGCCGTTATTTTCAAATCCAAACTGGGCACTGAAAAGAATGAGGCACACAATTCATGCCAAAATGAAAATTTTGTTATCTCATTTCCAACTAACTGTATGTTTCACAATGTTTTCCAGTGTATCCAAACTGGCATTTGCATTTGTATACCCCTGTGAAAGTGTTGTTGATAGGTGGTGCTGGTATGCATATAGCATCATTTTTGCAGGGTTGTTTCGTGCATGGATTCCTTATGTCTAGCCAACAAATAAATATTTCATTTATATATATATTTACTTTTTACAGAAAATCATTAAAATATTAATTTATCCATTTTAAACAAAATGAATATTTAATACCATTTTCACAAAATTGTCCAGTAAAGCCAGGTTGACAGGTGCAATACTTGTTGAAATCATTTGTGTTGCAGGTTCCATTATTTCTACACGGATTGGCAGAGGCACATGACGCTGAATTAAATTGATAATGGATGGACGTGTCATTTATTTGAATTTTGAAAGGTTAAAATCAGGCCCTAGTAATATTAAATCTCTTCAGTCTAATCAAAAGATAGACTTAGAAAAAGCATGACGTCATATTAAATGTACAATTAATAGTTCAATTTTGTGTATGAATTCATATCAGGAAAAACTACTCAAGCTTTAAGATAAGATAAAAGTACCAGCTAGTAGTGAAAGGAGCGAATCAGTGATATCAATAACCTTACTTAATATGAGACAATTTACTTCGGAATAATTTGAACTTTGAATAAGTAGAATGCCTAACTTTTGCTAGATTGCAATTTTAAAAAAGACAAAATTACTTACTTATGTTGCAGTATTTTCCCACAAAGTTGGCCTTACAGACACATTCCTTTTTGTCATCTTTAATCACACAAGTTCCATTATTTGCACATGGATTCTCTTTTGCACATGAAACTATTAATAATTTTTTATATTATTAATTATTCATTCAAAATTATAGTTTTATAAATTCTGATTTTGATCAATCTATCAATAATCAATCTAACTCATCAGGAGTGAAATTTGACTTGAACACCCTTTTGACCGTCACTTGATTGGGCGGTGGATTAATAAGTGAAATGTGATTGGTTAGAGGTCGTTAGGAGAAGAGTTTCAGAATTAGTAGCAGATTAGAAAGCAGAAATATACATTTAATTTTTAACAAATTTTTATTTAAAATTTTAAAAGAATTGAGACGCTGCTAATAATACTAATAATGACAATGCAATCCGTAATATAATAATTGCAATGGCTGATAAATTTAATTAATTATTAAAGATTAAACAAACCAAAAAACTAACCAAATTGACACCTAGTTCCTTCGAAATCTTTCAGACAGTTGCAAATTTTGTTCTTATCGTTTGGCAGACATGTTCCGTTGTTGAAACACGGATTGTTCGCCTTGTCGCAAAGTGCTTTTTAGATAGTAATTTTAAAAATAACTCACTAAAATAACCGAAAACCGAAATTATGTATCAATCCTAAATATAAAAAGCGGAAAACGCGAAGCAGAACAAAATTTAAAATAAAACTTCGAAATAAAGATCGAAATTACGAAGTGTTTCAGTTGGTTGGTAACAAACATGTGAGGTAGGTGCATGCGGCCTACATATCCGATCCTAAATGTATAATTATAAATATTTTTTGACATGTAAATGTACAACTAACGCAGGTAGCAACGACAGTAGGTAATGGCCAGTGAGCCACCTTTAGTCCACAGCCAATCGGCGTTAGCACTAATATTTGTTATGTGCCCCATAACGGGGCAATTTGAGACATTTCCATTGTTCTTTCCAGTTACAGCAGCCGCCTCCCACTTTGAATCATCGAAACCCAATTCAGCCGAATTGGGTCCACCACTCTGGGCACATTTGCAGCTGGTCGGCGACGTGATGAAGTAATTTGAAATAGAAGCAAGGACTCCATGGCACTTGAGGTCAGTCGTTGAAGCTGCTCTCAATGCGATTAAACGCGAAAGAGGTTTCAAGTACTGAAAAAATGGTGTCTGCCAAGGTCTGTTGTATGGTAACAGAGCTATCTTCACGCCATCAATGAAAAGTTCTGTCAAATTATCTTTGCTAGTAATGTATAATGGTAGTTGTTCAGTTGGAGTGGCTCCTGAATTAACAAATGTATTTTTATGCGTGTGAATACACATTCATATAATTTTTATCATTCATTCTTATCATCATTTAAAAATTTCATATAAATTTAGTGCATACAACATAACAGATTTGTATAATTTGAAATAGTAATTATTATAGTATTAATGGTAGGTAATTTAAAATAAGTAACCTAAGCAGAGTTTTGGTAAATTTACCAAACCGCTAACGGCTATAAATTGAAATAGTACGAAAGAAATCATTTTAACATTTTATAACAATGCGTTCAAATTTCAAACAGCCACATTTTTATAGAGGACAGACCTGCTAGTGATAAGTGGATGTATGAACGAGTGTGTTTGAAAGCAAGTGATTTTTATATAGAAATAACTGTTCTATAGAATGAGTTTTTAAAATAATCAGAGTGAAAGAGAGCAGCCAAACATGTAAAATATTACAATTCATTGTATTATTTTCACTGAATTGATGCATGCATAAAACATTAAAAATTGATGAGTGAAGGATTTGAAATTTAATAAATCAACATTTTGCGCAAATCTGGCCCGCAAGACCTATCACAGGTTGTGTACGAGACTGGACCTGTATATAGACGAGACCACGAGACATATATATAGACTAATCCAATAAAATCACTTATGATTGCCCAACATCAAGCTAATTTCAGCGTAAGAAAATATTGTAAGCAGTCCGTGTGTGTACTTTTAATAATTAGATGTCCGCTCTTTTCCGTAACTTTTCATTTTATTTTAATAAATAAGTCTTCAGATTTGAAGTTTCAAATTTTGGATATAATTTGGAAATGTTGGAAAATGAGATTTCGATGGGTTTGTTTGATTGAAAATTAAATTAAATTTGTTTAAACTTTAATTTAGTTTAATTTTTAAATTATTTTTTAATTTAAAAATGAAAATTTTTGTTATTCAATTTTAATTTCATCATGTATAATTTATTTATAATTTTATTATTTATTTTAATGAGAACAGACATACAGAGTTTAAAGGAGAGGGAAGAGACTCTGATGCGTGAGAAAGAACAAAGTGAAATAGAATTTGGCAAGCAAAGAGCCAAATTTATGGATCTTTTCAAACAAAAAGAAGGTCATGTATGTTTTATTTGTGATTCTCATTATGTTCATTTGCATAATACATACACACACACACTCAAAATTTATGGATCTTTTCAAGCAAAAAGAAGACTTTATGACATTTTTTTTATAGTGATTCTCATTGTATTGTTTTCATAACACACATGTAGTCGCACACGCACACACACACATCACTTTAACATTATGCCATTATCCTAGATGAATTAAACCTCATCAAAGAATCAAACTCCTCACTTGAAAAAAAAAATGAAGATTTGGAATGTGAGATCAAAATGTTGAAAGAGAAAATTGATGAGATGAAAAGTGAAATGACCATAGCTGAAGTGAACAAAGATGATGAAATCACTCGAATGCGACAAAAATTTCACGAAGAATCTGCATCATTTCAGCATATTTTAAAAGGTTTATCTATGCTATTTGTTTTCTAATTGTGAAAATACTTTCTTTTCTATGTTTTCTGACTTTAATTTTATTTAATTCATTATCTATGTCTTGTTTGTTCATTATTTTATCAGCCTGTATATAGATAAGATTGGTTAGGTATAATTATCTATTATTATTTCTTACATAATTCTAATTGTCGTTATTATTGTTCTTATTTCTGTAGAATCGATCGAGCAGGCTAGACAGAATGCTACGATGAAGTTCGAGGAAGAGAAGCTGGAGTGGATAAAAAATAATGACAAAATCCAACAGGAACTCAAAGAACTAAAAATGAAATTAAGTCATGAAATGTTAGTGATGATGCCGTCATAAAATATTTCATTAGAATAATAATAATTATAATATAATAATATTAATAATTATTGTTATTATTATTTTGTTGTTGTTTTTGTTTTCTTCCAAGTGGTGTTCCCTCTAATTAGATGCACTACAGAGTGCTGAATAATTAGTTAATTAGTTGGATCTGTGACGGTGATGATGATGATGATAATAATGATGATGATGATGATGATGATAATAATAATGAGAATGATGATGATGATAACGATGATGATGATAACGATATTTTTGATGTTGTTGATGATTGTTAAGTTGGTGTTGTTGATGATGACCTTGATGAATGTATTTACGTATAAACAGTTCAATATGTACAGCACACAGACATGCATATTCGCACATACACACATCCACACACACATCCACACACACTCACATCCAAACACATACACATCCACACTCATACACAGTAGTGAAGGCCCGTTATCAACGATAGCAAAGACATTTCAGAAGAAAATTACTTCTGCAAAGAAAGAAGAAGAACCTGAGAACTTAGAGAACAGCATGAAGAAGGTTGGAATTTGTTTTTTATATGATTGTTTTACTTTGGTACTCAAAATTCAATTAAATGTTTTTATTTGTTCAACAAGAACAATAGCAAAAGTAATCTAATACATGTTTATAATGATGATAATAATAACGTCCTACCTCGGGGAACTGGGTCTCTGGATGCTAAACGAAGATTGATTGATTGATTGAATGATGATAATAACGAAAAGAACAATAAAAATAACGACAACGTAAAGGCCCAAGAGGATGTGGAAATGTTGAAATCAGTGGTGACGCCGTTGGAAGACGAGATCAACAGTTTGAAGAAACAACTGCAAGAAAAAACGGAGCAACTCGATCGTTATTTGTCGCAGGTGGTTGGCTGATTGGTTGGTTGGTTGGTTGGTTGGTTGGTTGGTTGGTTGGTTGGTTGGTTGGTTGGTTGGTTGGTTGGTTGGTTGGTTGGTTGGTTGGTTGGTTGGTTGGTTGGTTGGTTGGTTGGTTGGTTGGTTGGTTGGTTGGTTGGTTGGTTGGTTGGTTGGTTGGTTGGTTGGTTGGTTGGTTTGTTGGTTTGTTGGTGGACTGACCGACCTACCAACTGACTGACTGATTGAATAGTTGAATGATTGAATGGTTGGTTGGCTTGAATCTTATTTTGAAATGTTTTTTTATCATTAACCATAAGATTTATTTTATAACATATATTTTTGTTAGTTATATTTGCTATGATGACGAATGCAAAATATAAAATCATTCATTTCATTTGGTTAACATTCTCATTTGATAAGAGCTCAATAGTTTATCTTAGCTTTATTTATTTTGCTTCAAAGAATAACAAACTCAATGCTTCTTTCATAAATTTTCTTTATTTTCTCTTTAATTTTTGTTTATATTTCATTTAAATCAAGTTATTTGGACTTCGTTTGAAATACTTCTTGGTGGCTTGTTGTATTATGTTTATAAAATATTTTCCGTCATTTTCATCGTCACTATGATCATATCACCATCATCATTATCATCATCATCATCAAGAGCACAACAACCACTGATGCTTCTACGCCAGATGCTTGTGGTGGTGGCGGTGGTGGTAGTGATGAGGAAAGTGCAAAAAATGAGGTTTTTTTTAGTCATTGGTATACATCACACTACACGCGCGCGCGCACACACACAATATAAACTCATAAACACGATACCCTCCCTCCCCACACACTCACACACACATGCACATACACAACTTACCCACTAAAACACACACACACACATTTTCAAATATACACACATACACAACTTACTGAGTAAACACACACACATACACACACGCAGGTTGTTGAATTAAAGAAGAATGTGCATTCAGAGCGTGGATCGCGTACAGACCTGGAGATGTACGTCACCGTCCTGAACATTCAGAAAGATGTCCTCAAAGCTGATTACGATAGAATCAAAGAACAACTTGAGACTGGTTAGCTGTTTCGTTCATTCATTCATTCATTCATTTATTCATTCATTCATTCATTTGTTTGTTCATTCATTCATTCATTAACCTGTCAGATTTTACATTTATTTATTTATTTGCTAATCTATTCAGTTGTTTATTTATTTTTTTTTGATTGATTGATTTATTCATAAATTATCCATCCATTCATCTATCTATTCTTTTGTCCATCCATCAATCCATCCATCCATCCATCAATCAATTCATCCATCCATTTATCAATCCATCCATCCATCCATCCATACATCCAGTGGAGAAAGAGGTGCTGTCATTGAGAGAGCAGAATGATCAACTTAAAAAGTACCTCCACCTCTCCAGCGAGCATTTCATTGAAGTGCAGAAGTTACTGAACATGAACGTCCAGAGGCTGGAGTCTGTACTAACCGACGAGCAGCGAGAGATGGTTGAAGGTGGGTTTGTCTGTCTGTCTGTCCTTCCGTTTCTGCCTGTCTGTCTGTCCTTCTGTCTGTCTGTTGGTCTGTGTTTCTTCACGTCTGTTTGTATATGTGTCCGTTTATCTGTTTGAAGTGCCGTCTCTTTGTCTTTATCCATCTGTCTGTGTCAGTTATTTGTTTTATGAATGTGAAAATGTTTGAATCTTTACTAACTGATGAACCAAGAGAGAGATGGTTGGTCAACGGTGTTTTTCTGTTTCTCTGTCTGTGCGTCTTACTGTCTGTCTGTTTGTTTGTTGATTATTTGTTTACTTTAATTTTTATTTATTTATTTTTTTATTCAATTCAATTCAATAATTTAATCTTTGTCTAATTTCTTGACAAAGACCTAAAAGCCAAAGACACGAATAGAATAAAGGTGGAGCAGAGGGTTGAGCATTTGAGGCAGCTGAGAATTAGAGAAGAGCTCGTGCACTCTTCCAGTACGTTGCTATTATTATTATTATTATCATTGTTATTATTATAATTGCTGTTGTTGTTATTATTGTTGTTTGGTATTTGACGTCATTGTTGCGTTACTGTTATGACGCTGATGTATTTATTGCTGTCATAGCTGCTTATACTAATTTTTTTTCCAGGAAACAAACAAGAATCAATGTTGAACGACCTTCAACTTCCTCCAAGGTCACCTATCGTGACCTCGACCTCAAAGGAACACCAACAGCAACAGCCACGAAAGCACGCATACTCCAGCAATCACGAAGATGTCTTCGCTGACGATCTAAACACAGTCATACCTAGTCAGTCCTCCACGCCGTCATCATCTTCGCCGTCGCTGCAATCCTCATCAGGAGTAAATAACGGCTATGACGTCATTGTCGTTCCGAATAATGACGTCACTGATGACGTTGCTGCTCATTCCAAACAACAGCAACAACAACATTCTCATGCAGGTAGTTGGTTTTATGTGGGGTCGTGATTTTGGCATGCTGTTCAAACGTATGAATGAATGAGTTAGTGAGTGAGTGAATAAATGAATGAATGAGTGGATTAATTAATTAATTAATTTTATTAAATTGTATGTATACATATATATGCCTAGCACAGGCATATTTGGTTGCATTTTTAAAAGTTATACAGCATTTATATTTTGTATACAATTTGTCATATATACCTTTTTTACTTCGTCCAACCCGCAACAAATTTTACAAACCCACAAGAATTAGGGAGAGGAGAAAGAGCGAGCGAGCGAGAGAAAGAGAGAGAGGAGAGTGAGAGAGAGACTTTCAGTCATTACATTATTATTAAACATACAGGCAACCATCAAAACAGTAGCAGTAGAGTTGTTAGCGACCTGGAGTGGCAGAAACTACAAATTGAAGTCTGTATATTGTTTACACACACACACACACACACACATACACACATACAGGCTAACGCACACACACACACACGCACTTACACACACGCGTAAACGTACAGGTAAAAGCAGCCCGAGACAGACATACAAAGCCTTGCTTAAACTGTTCGACATTGCAAGATAAACTAAAATCGTCGCAGGAATCTGAGAAAAAATTGAGCGGTCAGGTGAAAACGTTAATTAAACACCTGGATGTGGAGAGGCTATCGCTTAATAAACAGGGAGGTTACATCAAAGAGTTAGAAGATAGTTTGAGAACTGTCGTTGAAAATTCCGAAGTACAGGTTTGTGTGCGTGTGTATGTGTGTATATATGTGTGTGTGTGTATGTGTGTGTGTGTATGTGTGCGTGTTTGTATGTTTCTGTATATATTTGTAAAATACAGAATAGCTTGAGAACTGTTGTTGAAATTATCGAAGTACACAATCGCGCGTGTGTGTGTGTGTATGTGTGTGTGTGTACGTCTGTTTGCGTGTCTATATGTAGGCGTATGTCTATGTGTACATATATATATATTTGTATTTTTATGTTTGTACATGTGCAATCTTCCTTACCTGACAGATGAACACACTGAGAAACAAGCTACATGAGTCAGAGAATTTCCTCAAGTCTTTCAAAGACAATTTCGAAAGGAACAAAATGGAACTCTACGACTGCTTGGTTATTATGATTAATAATAATTATAATAATAATAAATAATAATAATAAAATTATTATTAAATTATTTCGTATTATTATTTTTCATTCAGAAAAATCTTGTTCATGATAGAGAACAAATTCAAAGAGAGGTATTCCATGCCTTATAATAATAATTATTAATATTATTGTTTTTGTTGTTATATATTATTGTTATTATTATTATTATTGCTATCATCATCATCGTAGTTGTTAATCTTGTTGTTTTTATCATTATTACTCTAATTTTTGCTATGATGTTATATAATATATATATATATAATAATAATTTATATAATATAATTATAATTTAAAAATATAATTTGTAATTATATAATAATTATGATTAATATTATTAAATTATGATCATAATTTGTAATGGATGTAAAATTGAACAGTTGACGAGACTGCAGAATGAGAATGACAGTCTGTTGGACAAGCACACAAAAAAGGCTCAAGAAATGCAAGAGGAGTTTATTAACTTTCCTAATAATCTCGAAGTTTGTTGTTGTTGTTGCTACTGATGTTGCTGTTGTTTTTGCTGTTGCTGATGTTATTGCTGTTGTTGTTGATGTTGTGATGATGCTACCTTTGTTGTTATCGGCATTGTTTATCTTTTTGGCAACATTGCCAGACCACTACACTAAAGAAGAAACAAACAGCAAAGCAGCACCTGCACTAAACAAACAACCAAACAACGCGAAACTACAAACCACAGCCAGATAACAACACCAACAAACAAACAAACAAACAACAACACCAACAAACGACCAACAAAAACACCCACGACAAACAAACAAACAACCGACCACAATCTAGGAGATGCACTTGCTACTCTTGAGGTACAGGGAAGATCTCATCACGTGCAAAGTGACGCTGGAGCACAACACAGAGGTGCTCAGGAGCGAGATTTCGTTCCTGAAGTCTAGGCTGGAAGCCGAGCAACAAGAAAGAAACAATATGGAGGAGACATTGACGCAAGAGTTGAGTCAGCTGCAAAGTCAAGTTGGTGAGTTGTTATCTGATCGGTTGATTAGTTGGTCGGTTGGATGAATAATTGATCGATTGATTGAATGAGTGATTGGGTGATTGATTGAGAGAGTGAGTGAGTGAATTGAGTGAGTGAATGAGTGAGTGGATGAGTGAGTGGATGAGTGAGTTGGTTGGCTGCTTGTTTCGCTTAATATCTTTCGGCCAATTTGTTTGTCATCAATTGTTAATTACCTACATTATACTTACTCATTATAATAATTTATTCACAGACGCTCACCGCCAACTCTCATCCGAATTAGAGAGTGAGAGAGTGAAGAGGAAGGAGGAGGAGAAATTGAAGGCTGTGGCAGAGGATCTGATCGTCAAGAATGCCAAGACAATCGAGAACCTACAGTTCGAAGTTAAACAGCTGACATCTGTGAAGGTGGTCATGATGTGGTCGTGGTGGGTGTAGTTTGTTGTGTATGTCTATGGTGTCTCTTTGCTTATGTTATCTCTGTTGATAAAAACCAGGCCAAAAATGACAAGTACATACAAGAGTTGAAAGGTAAGATCCACTCGCTGCAAGTCGATCTCGACAACAGTGAAGATGTCCAGAGGGATTTCGTCAAACTGTCACAAACGTTGCAGGTGATGACGATGGTGATGAATATTGTGATGATCATGTTCTGTCAGTGTTGGTTATACTTGACTATGCTGAAACATTGGGTTTATTTTTTTTAAATTAATTTGTCGACATCATCGCCATCATTATCATCATCATCATCATTATCATCACCACTGCAATCATCATCACCACCACAGATTCAGCTGGAAAAGATAAGAGCGGCGGAAACGGAAGTGAGATGGCAACATGAAGATGACGTCATTGAGTGCAGCAACTGCAAAGTTCACTTCAACGGTCATAATAAGAAAAAAGTTTGTTCATTTTTTGTTTCTTTGTTAGCTCAACAGTCCGTCCTTTCATTCATTCGTCCATTCATTCATCAATGCATCTTTCGGTCTAACCATTTTACCATTCATTCATGCATTCACTCATTTGTCTAAACATCTTTCTATCCAAGTATTCATAAATCCATCTATATTTCTATCCATTCATTCATTCTTCTGTTTACTTTCCAACTCAGCCATTCATTCATTTATTCATTCATTTACATATTCAACCAACCAACCAACCAAACACACATTCATTCATTCATTCATACATCAATCAATCCACCAACCCATCCATCCACTCATTCACATTCAGATCCATTGCAAGCACTGTGGTCAGATATTTTGCGTCGAGTGCCTCTCTAAAACTGTCAACAGCGGTCCTAACATGAGGCCTAATAAGGTTTTTTACTAATTTCTTCATTCATTAATTCATGCATTCATTCATTCAATCAATCATTCATTCATTCATTCATTCATTCATTCTTTCTTTCGTTTGTTCAATTCGTTTATTTGTTGCTTGATTCCTACTCGCTTTCATTTAATTATTCGTTCATTCATAAAAAAATTAATTCATTTATTCTCGTTCTTTCATTCATTCATTCGTTCATTCATTCATTTTTTTCATTCCAACCAAGGTATGTGACGTATGCCACACAATGCTAGTGAAAGATGCTACTCCATACTTCTCTGTTGAACAGTCGCATACGCTTTCCTGATTGGTCGATTGATTGTGTTGTGTTGACTGATTGGTCGATTGATTGTGTTGTGTTGACTGATTGGTCGATTGATTGTGTCGATTGATTAATCGATGGGTTGATATTATATTAGTTATATATTACATTATATTAGTCGATCTATCCATTCATTCGTTTATTCATTCATTCATTAATTCATTCATTCATACATACATTTGTTGAATGGTTTGATGAACAATTGTTTGACGGACTAAGGTTGATTGGTCGGTTAATTGTATTGACTGATTGCACTGCATTGATTGGTTGGTTGATTGACCGACTAATTAATTGATTGATTGATTAAATGATTGATTGATTGGTTGATTGTTCGTCAGTCAAATTAGTTTAAATAAACTTACTAAAATAGATGTTGTCACTTTTGTATGAAGGCTTGAACGTTACAACTACTCCGTATTTACGTGTACTTAAATTTAATTATTTTTAAATTAATTATCATTTATATTATATCAATAATTATAACAATAATTATAACTGTTATTATTACATTAAATGTTTATATAATTTACCGTAAGTTTAATTTTTTTTCCTAGTAAACATTTGTTGGTTTCTAAAATTTGCTCATACGTATTTCGAATATATACCGCTAAGGTTTAGCATTTAATGAAAATGTCTGTAAATAAATAACTATAAAAATATTTAACTTAATGCTATTTCACCGTTTAATTATTATGCTGAATTATATATATTATATATATATATATTCATGTGTGTGTGTTGTGTATATATATATATATATATATATATATATATATATATGCATTATGTGTATGTGTGAATTTATATAAATTCTTGTGAAATGTAATTGAATGAATTAAAACGATTCTATATTTTGTCAAAACACTCATTGAGCCAGTGTTTTTATGTTTGCTTATGTGATGTTTTCATTTGTTTTCAATTGTAAATTGATTATTTTTTAATGTATGTATGTGCGTACGTCCGTATGTTTGTGTTTGTATGTTCGTACGTAAAGAAATGCATTCCTAATAAAATTCAATAAAATCATTTTGCCTGATCAGATCACTTTTTTGAAATCGAAGTCATTCTATCAAAATTAAGATAAAATAACACTGAAAAATTGTGATAGTAAAAAATTAAAGTATATATTTTTTAAAAAATAAAACACGATAGGGTACCAACCATTAAAAATGACTATTAAACGCTTATAAATAAATTTAAATTCTAGTAAAATAATAAACGTTCGCTATGCTATTTCAAACAATTATTACATAAAAAAACCAACTATAGATACAAATGAATGTGTAAAAGACGTATATTATGAAGGCACAAAAATGAAATGAAATGAGTTTGGTATGTACCTGAAAAAGTTGTATCCATGATTCAACAGCATTTATTTTGTTTCATTTATTAGAAATATTTTTGGATATTTGACGTTAAAAATAAATTGTCTTGGGCAAAATGAAATGGCTAATGATGAAATACTGATGATTATGGTGGTAAGAAAAGAATTATGTAGCAAAATAATATTATGAAAATTCACTGGAAACAAAAAAAATGATTCTGAATTTCTGGAAAAAAGAAATAAATTTGCAAAAAATTCAAACAAAATTTTAAAAAAAGGGTCAAAAAATGAACCATGATTGAGAAGACCAAAAAAGATCCAAAAAAATTGCTAAAATAATGATTGGGAAGTGAAGATAATCATTCCTCAACACTTTTCGTGTACTTTCTGAGTGTATTATCAAGAAGGTAGTCGACAAATTTGTCAATAGGATGGATTATGAAAGGAATTGAGCCCAAGCCAATAGCAGTCACTGTCCACTTTCTTGTCATAGGAGGCAGTTTTGTTAGTTTGTATAAAACTTTGTTGCTGGCAAAACAAATTCGGTTGATAGTGAATCCAGGTATGATGACAGAGGCCAGACCCTGCCACAATAACACATCTCCTACCACAATACCTGTCTTCTTCTTTTGATCATCTTCACCTTGGGTCTTCTGTAGATTTTATATTTAGTTACATAATTTGTTTAAATATAATTTGAAAAGAAAAAAATTGTAAACACTACAAACTTGTCACAACTAAAATGATAAATTATATAATAAATACAAATAATTGATCCATTAAAAATTAATAATAGCATTAAAATAATTAAATCTAAATATGAGCACCTGATAGACTTCTTTTCCCTTACTGGCAGCATCAGCACACACATAAGTTGAAGCCACAACATAACTAAACCTCACCCAGTTAACATGAACCAATGCCCGAAATGATTCCCCAACCTCATTCGAATAACCTTGTTAATAAAAAAAGTTATGTAATTATGACCTTGCAAATCAAAGCAAAAAAAAGACAAAAACCAATGACAGTTATTAAAAATGACTACAAAAACACAAACTTAACATAAAGTTTGACTAGCCTAAATATCTGAGCAACGTATCTCTGAAGATGTCGACCTTCTTTGATTGTTCTTGGTTTTCAAGGTCGGCCATCTCATTGCAGGATTTGATCAAATTGAGTAGGAACCAATTAACATTCGTCCGTGAAAGAACAAAACATTGATGTTTATCGAATTTACTTTTAAATTTAGCATTGTATTTAAAAGTTAATTTATGTTTAAGTTCACGTTGTAATTAATGGAATATAGCAGACGTCAAATTTCAAACTGCTGAAAATGGCATCAGCATCTGCGAAACAAACTGCAGAGGGTTCAAAAGTATTGTCCTGGGTTTGTATTCGATTTGATTTTATTCTTTTACGTATCACAAAGGGTAAAAATCTGGGAACTATTAAAATTGAAATCTCCAATTTTATTCAGAGGGAGAAGAGGATAATGAACGCGAAGCCCGCTGTTAATTTGGTGCTGAGTTCCGTATCAGAAATCATCAAACGAAGTACAAACGACAGCTTCAGGAGGGCGTGTTTCGATTTGATGAAGGTTATCTTATAGTTATTACAATGTTTGGTTTGAAAGAAGGTGGGTGGGCCTTCATTATTTTAACATTTAATATTAAAACCGAATTCAGGTAGACAATCGCCTGGACTTTGAAGTAGCTCTAAGGCATCATATGATCAAAATGATCAAAATGAGGCATGGTCTGGACTTGGAATCAGACAACGACACAGAGAAACAAAAAAGTATATGTGATCAATCCACTACGTGTACCATGGCCCCAGAGATGAATAACTCAAAAGATATTAGCAGAGAAAAAGTGAAAGTGAAACGTGAAAAGCCTAATATAACAGAAGTTATTGAAATTAGTGACAATGATGATGATGAGGATAATGAAAATGATGACGATGCAGATGACTTGCGATTTTTCTAAATTTGTTTGTTATATTAGTATCATCAAAACTTCAAAACTATGGATAAAAAAGTATGAGAACTGATGTATTATTTTATTGACAAAACTATATCTTGAAAACATTAATTAAAAATGCTAGGAGTCTTTTGATGAAGTTGATGAAAGATGACTGATGATATCAACCCAATTCCATCCCCTGGGCAGCTCTCCTTTGTCCTGTCTGTTTAAAAGTCTCCTCTTCTGTGCTTTTGTTAGTTTTTCTTTCTTTTCTTTTTGTCTGACAGAACAAGATGCTGTTGATGTGTCTGCAACTGCCCCTTCTATGTTCAATTCATCTAATGTTAACACCTGCAATTGTAATTACAAAGCAATTGTGACCTGCTTGAAAATGATAAAATTGTAAAATGCTGAGTTTTACCTCATTATCATCAGACGCATCTTGATCATTTTTTTCTAAAAGTGTATCAACTTTCTCTTTGATTGCTTCTATAATTGTGTACAACATCGCAGAGTTTAACATAGGTTCAGCCTTTATATAAATGAGTTATTTAGTTTTCAAACTTTGATTAAATAAATGAGTGGATTTTTACTTGATCATGCACAAATTCTTTGATCTTGTTTTTAGTTTTCTTACACCTATAAAAAAATTTTTAAAAAATGAGACAAAACTGATTGATTGAAAGAATTAGTTAGAGGATGTTACTTACTTACAAAAATTTATTACAGAAAAATTCAAGGTTTATGTCGGGAGGCACTTCAGGATAATTTTCTAACCAATGAAATTCTACTAGGAATGATTTCTGACTTGATTCACTGTCAAACTAAAGCAGTAATAAAATAATTAAACAAATATTAATTAAATTACTCATGTGAAAATGAGTTCAATATAACCATTATAAAAGAAAGTGTCTAATTTTTATTGATATACAAAATTAAAGTTTTACTCTAAACTAAATGAAGTAAAAAATATATACATTACTACGTATTATAGGTGATATTACAGCAAATTCAAATTGTTATTGCTTTTTAAAAGTTTAAAATTTAATATTATTAAGTTTTACTTTCAAAAAAATAACCTTATAACTAAAAGTTGTAGGATTGACTTCTGTGAATTTTGTGTCTCCTTCATATATGGATTTTATAACTTCATATTCTTCCTTTATTAACAAATTAAAAACAAATTGTTATTTTTGAAGGGCAACACATGGAGAGATAAGTTAATTAATTGTTAATTAATTGAACAAAAAAAAAACAATAAAAAATTATAACATAAATTGATAAATGATAAAGTTCGAAAGAAATGATGAAATTGAAATAAAATCAAAAATAAAAATGTCTAAAAAAAAGGAAAAGATAAGCTTCTTTTGTATATTCGATCTCTATTATAAATTATATTATAAATATAAATTATAAATAAAGAGATCTATCTGTTGCATGGTTTCGTGTGGCAATTGAACTAACATGGATCTAACCAACTAAAAATGAATTTTAAATTTGAATCAGTCAGTAGTACCTCTTGTTGTTCTTTGATGGTTCCCATTCTTTATTATTATGACAGCTTATGAATTTATTAGCTAGAAGCTAAAATGAAATGACCCTATTTAAAATAACTTTTCACCTCTCTATTTTCGCAATGTTTACCATAGAAAAGACGGTCGGGCTATTTGACTTGCTTGGATTGTTGGCTTACTTACAAATTGCATGTGTTTATGATCATATATACAGAATATAACATATATACTCTACATATATGTATGTATATAAAATATTTACTCGATTTGATATGTTTAAAACAATGCAGTAAATTTATTTAATTATATTAAATTATTTTTGGTAATTTGGAATATTTTACATTCTAGTGCTCATAGAAATTGGTTACTGAAACCATACGTTGGCTTAAAGCAGTGGCTTACCGAGTATTATAGTAGTTTTTTGTACATAAAATGCTTTAAATAAACCAATAAATTTATATCACAATTATTTTTGTCAATATAAATATAGAAATCGCTTTTTGTCCGGTGAAATACAGTGGCTTACTACAGTATGAACAAAAATACTTAAATAATTAAATAACAATATTAACTGCTTAATTATTAATAACATTATAAACGTAATTGTAAGATCAGAACAGTTGTACCATATGTCATTATACAATGAACGCTATTATCACGTGACTGAGAATGGATTTTAATACTGAAGTTTACTATCATATTAGTTGTTGGTACAACTTGACCATGCTCGGTTTGGTGTCGTCAAAGGTAGCCAGCTTGCATACTACCTGAATTAAAAGTTGAATTATTTTGAATTGGAAATCATAAACAAACTGTGTGTAATGTTGTGCTTGCTGTGTGTTTGATTGTTTTGTTAGTGTGTGATGATGATGTGAAACAAAAACTAACACATAACAATCAATAGATGAGAAGTAGCAAGAATAGAAGTCACCTACCTACTATAAATTAACGGTTAAGCCCTAGCTTACCTATAATAATTAGCTCAACTCAAATCTCACCTACTTATGATTAATTAACTCATCTTAAACCCTAACTTACCTACTTTCAATTAAACTCAACTTACTCTTGGTGTCAGTCCAGTAGAGAAGAAAAGTAGAAGTAGAAAACAAACACTAAACAAATGAATGTTATGCATGTGTGTGTATGTATGTGTTGTTTGTGTGTAATTTTGTGTTTGAATGTGTGTAATGTTTGCTGTGTGTTTGATTGTGTGTAATGTTGTGCTTGATTGTGTGTAATGTTGTGTTTGTGTGTGGTGTTGTGTTTGACTGTGTGTAGTGCTGTGTTTGTGTGTAATGTTGTGTTTGATTGCGTGTAATGTTGTGTTTGATTTTGTGTATGATATATATATATATATGTGGATATATGTATGTGTATTGATAAATGAGTGGGCGAACGTAAAAAACAACTCTACATCAGCCATTTGAGACGCACCACTGACATATTGCTATACATAAATCTATACCAGAGACCAGAATCTGGATGAACTGCAGTCGGGAAACAGAAGAATTTTCTTGCCCACATTTCTGCCAGTTAGTATATTGATAGGTTACGATACAACCTCCGTAACCTCAAAAAAACGCTAATCTAATATTAAAATGCATTTAAAGCCTTCTACCGAATATTATTATATCAAAACATATAGCTTAACTAGGCTGCTTTAAATCACTTTCTCAAGCGAGTGATGCCAGCCACAATGTAGCATTTGTTTAATTTAAATGTCATCGAAACAAAAGAACGAAGTTATACCTTTTCTTTAAAATGAAATAACGCAGATTGTCTTAAATTTCAACTTATTCCAGCCAACTAACTTTCTGTAGTTTGTTTGTTGGTTTTATGAATTTAAAATTACATTGGCTTAGCTTAACGTATCTCTAATTCTAAAAAAAAACAAGACAATCCCTTTTCACAAAACGTGTAAATTTACACGCTGTCATGCCAACCGACCAACCAACAGCCTGCCAACATACACTACTACAATACAGGAAAATACTACTACCACTACTCTACTACCATTAACATCACTACTGCTGCTGTTACGGCTGCCACTAGTACAGCTGCTACCACTGCTTTTGATTAGATTGAAGATCATAAAGTGCACAACACAGAAAAAGTTTACATAATTATATTATATTATGAACGTATGGCATGATGCTGAACGATGCAATGATAATAATTATCTTTGGGGTTTTTATCCATTTAAATCTTATTAATATTTTTTATAAAATTATTATTTATTTATTATTACTAATAGATTGCACGTTGATGAATAAAGAGCAAAGTTTATAAACAGTAACGCGATGTTTTGGTAGAATCATAATCGAAATCGGTTTTGCAACTAGTTTAATTTAAAAATTTTTTAAATGCCAAGGTCGGTTTCTTTAATGTGTTTTATCTAAATAAAAAACATCATGTATGCGCTTGTGTATGTGAGCATGGACGTATGTGTGCGTGTTTGTGTGTATGGAATTTAATTAAAAATATTTTAAATGTCAAGGTTCCTCTTGTCTGTTTTTGTCAAAACAAAAGCATCACGTACGTGATTATGTATGTGGTTTTTGTATGTGTGCTATAATATTTATCAAGTATGTATGAACTTACCTCATACGATAAACATTACAAAAAGTGGATTAGAAATATTAACTTGAATAAGAAGAAACACGGTAGAGAAATTATTTTTGATAAAACGAGAATTATTGAAAAAAAAAATATTATTACAAAAAATTATGAGTTGGTAAAGATAAATTAAACTTCAGTGGATCTCATCTTATCAATTCTCTTAGCAAATGTTTCAGCCACCAATAACGGAAATACGAGGCTTGCTTCTGCGTGTATCTGAATGAAATCCGCGAAATAAATGTAACTTATAATACAAAACGAAACATTTAAAAGTTACTAAAGTTTTACCTCAAAAAATGCAAACAGAAACTACCTCGTATAGTTTAAAAAAATTTAAAAAAAAAACCATTTATTGATTTATTTTAAAAGCAGGAAATAAATCAACGATACTTTGACAGGTTGGGCAATTTTTTTAATTTTCCCCCAAGAGATGGCTTCATCAGGCGATGCTCCAGCATCTGATCCATCAAACTCCTGGGCCGTGTTCACATATAAACAGAAATCTGCACCATTTCTCTGTTTTTGTAAGATTAAATCAAGAAATTGCTAACAAACTATGTGTGTGTGCGTGCGTGCGATTGTGTTTAACGCCTGAATGAAAGAGAGATTCAAATAGAATAGCACAAACCAAAACTGACCATCATGTTGGCATTGCAGATGTGGTGCTTGATGAGACCTCCTCCCAAAATTATGACACCGGTAGATCGAGCACGAACAGCACGAGTGTTCAGCATACAGAGGTCTGGTTAGTTACAAATAATAAACTTCACATCAGCCATTGAAACCATTATTATATTATTTTGGGCAACTAGAAAAACATAAACCATCAACAAAAATGTGAAACATAAATTTTAAAAACTCAGTAAAAATCAAAGTGCTGGCCTTCTATGATATCAATTGCAAGGCCGGGGTTTCGATAGGAATGCATGTAAAGCATGTCACCCAGCGAGCCATCAGTCAATGCAGGACTGTAAACTGGAATATTGTTCTGTCAGAAAAAAGAAACTGATAGTAAATTAATAAAAAAATCATTTAGTGTTAGTTAATATTTAATTATCATTAAATAAATTGAAAAATCATTAAGTGCTTGACGCATGAGTATGCCATTTAAATTATGTAAAGCAGTTAAGATTGCTATTAAAACACGCCTAGACCTTATAGCACCAGTAGCATACAGATGATTTATCGTTTATTTCCTTACCGAGACGCGATATAATTTTAGAAGGGGTCCACTTGAAGTTCTGAAAGTTTTTAAAAATATATAAAGTAAATATATTTAAAAGTAAATTCAACACAAAAAGTAAACTAATCATTGAAATGTAAATATAAGAACAAACTTCTGTCTTCTGTTCAATAAGCATTTGATCTAAAATGGGCATAATCCAATCTTGAAATTTGCAGTAGTTGTCATTTGGTGCTAAAAGATTACCAATCCGGTTGATGCCCATGTCTCTGAGCATGGAACCTTTAAAATGGAAGTCACCTACATAAGTGGGAGAAAAACATTTTATGATATCTTCTTCCACCCCACCCGCTGTTGTCACAATACAATCAACCTGTTTAACAAATGATGAAAATAAAATGCTTTTTACAAATTTATGAAAAAAAGGTAAACAATATATATATATATATATATTAAATTAACATAAACAATACATGTCATAGCCAAAGATGAACTAAAAAACTTACTAAATTATGTTGAGTTAGGAATCTAATTGTTTCCCTAATACCACTGGATATCATATTCGATGTGTATCCAAGAAATATAGTGCATGAAGTTGGCGCTCGACCACAGGGATCCAAATTAATTTCACATTGCTCATCTATGGGGATTGGCTCCATTTTTTTGTCTAGCTGATGAATTTGGAAAAAATATCAGTGTACGCTTTAAAAACCTTAAAAACTAAATTAAAAAAATTACATACACAGTATAATAAATTAAATTAGTGGTTTTAATTAGTAACACTGATTGAATGAATTGTAATTATACTAGCCATTTTATTTATTTCATTCACACCCAAAGCAAAATTAGTGGCCTGAAACCCGGTGGTGGCAAAACTAGAAAAAAGTTTAGAATAATTCAGGCCCTCGTTGAAATCATAACCGCAAACTTCCACAGGTTTTGACACAGGGAGGTCAGCACTTTTGACAAATAATGCGTTGAGCACTGATTCAGGTGGATAATCAGAATGGTGTTTGAGGTTGTTTTTGTTGATTTCGTTGACGCTATCAGACATCCCGCTTTCTGATTAGTTAGAGAAATGAATAGAGATTTTAATTAATAAAACATTAAAATATTAAATATTTAAAATATAATTATTATTTTAAATAATAATGATTATTATAGTAATAAATATTATAGTTAGCTAGATGTAGAAATTTAAAAAAATAAACGAATGAATGAATAAATAAATAAACGAAAGAATGAATGAAGCGGGCAACAACTCTAACGATATAAATAAGAACCAACAAAAACAGCCAACCTGTGTAACAATCCTTAAATAACGAACAAAAAATCAAATGTGCGGTCGGTCTTAAGCAAAAGCGAACAGGGTTAAAATAGCGATGCTCCAAAATGTAGTCTAAAATATGTTATTGATTGTCTATTGATTATATATACGTCTATACCATGTATTCTTCTTACTATGTATCAAATTAATTTTAACTTTAGATTTTACTTTGACAAAAAATGTTATTAACAAAGCAGCTTTAAATTGCTTTTGAAAATCCAATTCAATGGTAATGATGTCAAAATGAAGTTCGTATTATGAAATGTTCAGTGCTTTGCATGTATTTGCTCTGCTTTGCTTTGCTTTGCCCTGAAAATTGTTTACGTCCATTGTTCTTTGCAGGGAGGCAACATACTCTCCAGGGATTGGAGACACACATTCTTCCTGGGTCAATTTTTGTATTTGTACTAACTTCAATATGCTTGAATCGTTTTTCTGGTCCGTACCCGCACAAGTTGACTTTGTCTCTGATGTCTTCTCTATTGCTCACATCGAACGTTTCGTTTAACCTTACAAAAATTTACCCATTCTTAATAACATTTCAGTCAGTTGATTTATTCTGTTATATGCTCTGATGAATCCTACGCAATATAAACTAAGCAGGTCGACCGCCATCCAGGCTGGCATGGCATCAAATATGTGGGATACGTGGTAGCCGTCATAGTTGCTGTCTGTTAAATGTATTTTGTAATGAGCACCCAAAACTAGGTTTTCGTGTTCGTAAATGTGTGAACTGTGATAAAGAGGTTTATGCAAGGCTAAATTTTTCCTGAAAACCTCACATTGGTACCATTTGTTTCTGACCTTACCAGGGGGACAGACACATTCAACGTACTTATTACCATTCATCATGGATTCAATACATTCCATTCCAAACGGGACAATCTCCTCCATCTGATGAGCAATTTCTTTCTCTGTATGAATCACCTCTCCATCCCGGATCGCATCCATCAGGACAGTTTGCAGTTATTTCGTAATTTCCTTTGATTCTGTTTCTGCAGTGAGAATAAGTCGATACTCCTCGTTGGAAGTCGTATTGGAAGCGTGTTGCAAATATGGTTATTTTTTCCTCATGACCTTGATGATAACATTTGCAAACTTTCGATCCGTCACTTGAGCAGGTATCGCAAATTAATTTTGTGAAGTAGCTACTTCCTGTACCATGTTCTTGAAAGCAACCGCATTTGTTCGACGTGTCAATTTCCTGAAAAAACGTACAATTTGTCTCAAAACAGAAATGTGCGCACATTTCAAATGTGTAAGTGTTTGGTAATGTCATCAAAATGACATCTGTCTGACGTGTTTCAAAACTGGCGTAGTCATCGTGCGTCTTTCGTGGCTTGCTTTTATAAACGGAATATGAGTCCCTTCCACCACAAGCATCTCTATTGGCGCAAAGAACATTACACTGGGATGAAGCCACTGCCGAATCTAACCTTCCAATACAGTTGCATTCTTTTCCACTCTTCAAAGCGATCATATTGTTAATTTCATCTGTGCACTCCAGTGAACATTCATTCACTGAGCCAACTGATGCAACAGTTTTCGTTGAGCTGATGTTTAGATAGCATCCTATGTAAGATTCTTTCAAGTTGATTGCTGCATGGGCTATTGAGAACAGGTTGGCGAAAATAATTAAAAACAAACTGTATGAAAATATCGTTTGATACATTTCGGCCTAAAATTAGCAATGAATTTTCGATACGTTTATTCAAAATATGCTCATTGAACACAAACATTCATTCATTGTGCTAAATGTTTGTTTGTTTATTACTGTTAAAAACCTGATTGTGAGTTCATTATGTACATAGATCAACATAAATTTAAATCTGCCCTTATCTACATTCTTTCATATCGACAACACATATTAGTTGGGCATCTCATCTTGTTTTATAAATCTCACTTATACTCATCATAAACCGATTTTTAATAAACTGTCAAGAAATAAATAATTAACTCGTTTATTAAACATTTTTAAAAAAATGACATTATGTTTTTTTTTTAAATTTTTTCCACATAGTAATATATACATAAAATAATATTGTATATATATATATATACATATATATATATATATATTTACAATATTTTATAAATTCTACCGAATGTTTGGTAATAGACCATAATTTTTACAATATTCTATAAATTCTACCGAATGTGTAGAATTTATAGAATTCGGTAGAACTTATAGAATATTGTAAAAATTATGGTCTATTACCAACACATACACACACACACACACACACACACACACACACACACACACACACACACACACACACATATATATATATATATATATATATATATATATATATATATATATATATATATTATTTTACCTAGTAGTTTAATAACAGAAAGCAGGAAGAAATAAAAGTGGCGGAATAGTAGCTGTAGAAACATGTAATGTAGTATTATTTATAATAAATGTAATAGTATTTATATTACTATTATTATATTCATATTAATATAAAATTTAAAAATATATTAGCGTAAGGGTTAGAGACGCCTGGTCGTGCTATTGCAATGACTTGGTTTGAATGGTTTGAATACAAAGAGATCCCCGCCTATCATATGCAACGTGTGTGTGATGTATGGTTTTCATGCGTGTTCATATACGTTGTGCATGTTTGTCGTTAAAACCTCTGAAGCAGATGCACAAGAGAGATTGACCTTTAACCTTTAAAAAAGATAAAATAATATATACTCATTTTAATCACATATCTGATAACAACTATAATGGGTAATATCAATACAGCTAATAATGTAATTATTATTCTCAGAATCATAGACACTCATAATTTTTTCTCATTATTACTATCTTGCACATAAAATCATCAATCAAAAACTAACTCCTCTAACGATCTAAACAAGAACCAACAATAACGGTTAACATGTGTAACAATTTGTAAATAATGAACAAAAAATTAAATGTACGGTTTGTCTTATGCTAAAGCGAACACAATTAAAATGGTGATGCTCCAATATGTATTCAGTTATTGATGTTCTGTAGTCCGTACCATGTATCCATCTAACTGTGTATCATTTATGTGTATTTTAATTATTATATAACATACGATCTGTATCCAGTGTTAGATTTAAACGATTTGAAATCATTATATTTTACTTGGAATAATTGTACACAACACGTTGACCATACATTGAATGAATATTTATTAAAAAAAACAGTTGTTTAACATGTTTCAACTTTTCTGATTACACAACTAAATTAATTAATTAAAAATTTAATTTAAAACTAAAATTAGACCAATTTATAATGTGATTGATGCTTTTTGTGTTCACTAACATTTAGCAAGACAACATAAAATTAATGTAATAGTTTCATTCAATTATCATCAAAATATTAAAAAAATGTACGTCTTCATTCTTCATCTTTCTCGATTACTTCTCCATCTTTTCCAGAATTGTTTTCTACTTTTTTCTCGAGAAAAATTGAAACAACCTGCAAGTAAATGAATTCAATGATTTCGATGAAGGTCATGGCTGTTATGCCCATCCAGAGACTCAACGTTCCACCAAACGATGAGATGAACAACGTCAGACTCATTGCTTCCACGTCGTTGTAGTGTAAGATGTAATCGTTTTCGAATATGAAGTTTAGCTGCACAAAATTTTCACGGATTAGATCTAAACTTTTTAGCTCACGAATAATTTGCGAGTCGTTTTTTAAACCACCAACAAAACTGGCTTGAAGTTCCTTGTATTTATCGAATTTGTCAATATTGGGGTAAAGAGAATTATAAATGTAACGCTTGTAGAAAGCTAACTGTTGAGATTCTTCAGGCCATGGAGCTGTCTGACCAGGTGAGTGATAGGAAATTTCTTGACAGGAATCCAAACACTTGCTTGCGCAAAGATCATCAACTTTAATTGATTCGCTACATATCAGTTGAGATATGAATTGCGGTGTTTCATTATTATTAACCGGTTGAAAATTACTTTTTGTTACATTTCCGCAAATGGTTTCATTGGCTTTCTTTAGCTGTTCGCTGGTAAATCGATATCCGCTTGACAAACAACGACATTTTTGCAGCGTAATTCTCTGAACGCAATGTTCTACGCATAAAGATTTTGAATAAAAACCAGATCTTGTTAAGTTAATATGATTTTTGTCTTTGCAACCATTTTTTTGGTAGGGGTATGGTAGACGGCTCCTATTCACCATTTGCATCTTCAACGACATCTCACATCCCGATCCGACACTGACTCCAGTTTTCATGTCCGGATCTTCTCCTGGATCATGCACTAGCACTTTCAGACCGTTAGCTCTCGAGTACGTAAAACCAGCTCCATAGGTGCCCGGGTAAATATAATCCCCAAAATTATTTAAATAAATTACCAAAGAAACTGCACTGACTGAACTTCTAATTTCAGTGGGGAAACTTATGGTGTAGCAGCGATAATATGCCGGGTGCCAAATTGGTGTTATTACTTCCTTGCCCGATAACTTTTTAAAATTCCAATCAAAAACGGATTGATCGACGATGAACACACGATCGTAACTTGAATCATTAACGTAAGGAACTACTGGCAAGTTGGAAAAATAACCAATAGGTTTCTGTAATTTATTCAAAATATCAGCCATCTTGTCTTTCGTTATGTTTAGTTTTTCATAATCAAGCTTAGACGTGATTTTTTCCACTTGATTGACAAATTCCGTGTATGAATAATTGTGCTGATTATATTTAGGATTCAAATTACAAATCGTAATCTTCGGAAAGATTGGTTTATTTTCACTTTTTCTTACTACGGTGTTGTACGGGTAGCTGAAATATCTGTTGAAAAGTACGGAAGTCTGCCAAAGTAGAAAGCCAGAGCACAAAATGACACCCACTGTCCACGAACCAGTGATGAAAACGTTTTGAGATTTCACAATTTTGTCCACTCCTCTTATGTTCACTGTGTCGATGAACTGTTCACATTTTCTCTTCGCGAAGATCGAAAAATTCGGAAACATTTTGAGGCCTGTGTTGTCAACCGTTTAAGATGAAAATTATCTTGAAATGCATTTTTGTCGTTGAGATCACACACATTTTTCATCAAATATCCTTCATTTAAATAGTTTTTTTATAAATCGCCTTCAACCTATCTGACCATTATCGTAAATTTCATATCTTCAGTCATTAACAATCAAACTACAAACAACTATTTTAAAATTCATTCAATTATCTTGAAGCAAATTATAATTTGCACTTAAAATTCTCACCGTGATTTCAATGGACTTTTGTTTCTTTCCATTGTGAAATCATTTTAACATTGTATAAGATAGAAATAGTTTCGTACTTTAGAATACTATTTGAATTGTAGTTAAGCCACGTATATTTCTTTATTTCATTAATGCATTTTCTTCTTAGCTCTCTATTTCGGTTCAGTCAAGTTTTATTCATACCAAATGCAATTAACATGTCTTTGTGAAAAGGTCGGTGGCAAAAAACGATTACTAGCGAATTAGTAAGTATGTATTAAACATTTAATGTCACTTTTATTTATGAAATGTGAGTTGATAAATGATAGTTATAATGTATCTATTAAAAAGTTACACATTTTAGTTTTTACATTCAGTAAGATTGAGATTAAATTTTTTCGTCTCATTTATTGTCCAGTTCTAGGATTTTAACAGCTTCTTAATAAAAAAAAATAATTATGAAGCATTCTTCGGTTGGTTTATATTGTATTAAGTATTTTAATATAGGACTATAATACAACTATAATACAACAATAAATACAACTATGAAAACTAAAAGGATATTTATATTATTAACAAATTAATTAATTAATTAGTGCGAAATTTTTGATTAACAATTATAATGTCCGCTTAAAATATGGTGATGAATTTTTTTTATTGCTTGCGTCTTTTGATGAGTTCGTGAAATCCAATTCGGCATTTCATACAACTTCCACTGAATAGATTTTTGGAATGTGAATTAAAGTTAATTGTTTCCTCATTCATCGACATTTTATTCTTACATCGTTTAATTTTAAATTTTACCTTGACAAAAAAAGTTTTTAATAAAGCAGCTTTTAAAATGCCTTTGAAAATCCCATTCAATAAGAATGACGTTAAAATAAAGTTCGTAGTTAGAAATGTTCGGAGCTTTTCATGTATCAATCTCTGAAAATTGTTAACCCCTATTGTTCTTTGAATTGAGAAGTAAGAAACTATTAATTTTATAAGTGACAAGGGCTTCTATTAATTTAAATAAACAGCTGACACTGGCGACGAGGTGACAAAGGATTACAATTGTGATCAGTTTTAATCACGTGTGAATATCATACATCGCTAACAAATATTGGCATGTAGCCTGCCTTTATATGAATCTTCTTATAGTGAAAACTTTCACTAAATTATGTTTATTCTGGTTTTAAAAGTTTGCTACAAAACTTGATTAAATATCTCGATGACAAATTTAACGTTACAAAGTTTATGAATCACAAATCAATCTTGTGAAGTAGCTACTTCCTGTACCATGTTCATGAAAGCAACTGCATCTGTTCAACGTATCGATCTTCTGGAAAAACGTATAATTCGTCTCAAAACAGAAATGTGCGCACATTTCAAATGTGTAAGTGTTTGGTAATGTCATCAAAATGACATCTGTCTGACGTGTTTCAAAACTGGCGTAGTCATCGTGCGTCTTTCGTGGCTTGCTTTTATAAACGGAATATGAGTCCCTTCCACCACAAGCATCTCTATTGGCGCAAGGAACATCACACTGGGATAAAGCCACTGCCGAATCTAATCTTCCAATACAATTGCATTCTTTTCCACTCTTCAAAGCGATCATATTGATAATTTCCAAATTGCACTCCAGTAAATATTCATTCACTGAGCCAACTGATGCAACTGTCTTCGTTGAGCTGATGTTTCGATAGCATCCTATGTAAGATTCCTTCAAGTCGATTGCTGCATGGGTTACTGAGAACAGGTTGGTGGAAATAATTAAAAAAAAAACTGTATGAAAATATCGTTTGATTCATTACGGCCTAAAATAATCGATTTTCGATACGTTTATTCAAAATATGCTCATTGAACACAAACATTCGAATGGGTTTGCGCTTTTTATTTTTTTATTTTTGTTTATCTGGTAGAAACGTAATTTAAAAGTTGAACGTACGTCATTTGAGATATAAATGGTTTGCAAATAAATAAGATTATAATTTAAATGGCTTTTAAACATTTTCATTCACTAGATTCATTTGTAAAATGTTTTTAATTAATGTTCACAAAATGAAATATGAGCTTTTAAGTTTTTCTCTTGAAAAAAACATTTTTGTTAATCCATATAAATTTTATATGGACCAATATAAATTCAATTCTGCTCTTATGTACTTTTTTTTCATATCGACAACAAATATTGGTCGTGCTTCTCATCTTGTTTTACAAATCTCACTTATACTCATCACAAACCGATTTTTAATAAATTTTCAGGAAATAAATAATTAACTCGTTTATTAAACAATATTTTACAATAACATTGTATTCTTTTTTTTTATTTTATTCACATAAATAATAAATACATGAAAATTCATTATATATATATATATATATATATTTATATATATTCACAAATTATATATTTAAAAGCTGTAATAATTGGATTTTAAGTTTTCAACAAAGCAGCTTTTAAAATGCCTTTGAAAATCCATTTCAATAAAAATGACGTCAAAATAAAGTTCGTATTAAGAAATGCTCGAAGCAGATGAATCAGTTGTGGTTTTGCTTGAATCATCTTTATTATTTCGCTTTATTAGAAAAAGTACACAGCAAGTTAAAAGACCAAGCTGTAGCAGCAGGAGTAACACACCTGATAGAGTATAATTAGTGGTTGGCAATTCATTGCAGTGGATGACTGTTAAATTTTCTTTCTTCTCCTCTCTGCACGGCTCCACCTCTTCGCACCTCCCGTTGAAAAGATCGCATCCAGCCTCGAATACTTCCAACTCTGCGAGTGCTGTATGATGATCTTTCATTCTCTCATCAGATGGTTGAATGAAAACAAATCTTGTGAAGATGGTGAAGTTCTCACAAACGACAATCATGGGGTTTCCGCCCTGTATCGCTTCTTCTGGTCCGTACCCGCACAAGTTGACTTTGTCTCTGATGTCTTCTCTATTACTCACATCGAACGTTTCGTTCAACCTTACAACAAACTTGTCCATTCTTTTCAGCATTTCAGTCATTTGATTTATTCTGTTGTATGCTCTGATGAATCCTACGCAATATAAACTAAGCAGGTCGACCGCCATCCAGGCTGGCATGGCATCAAGTATGTGAGATATGTGGTAGCCGTCATAGTTGCCGTCTGTTAAATGTATTTTGTAATGAGCACCCATTGTGGGGTTGTCATGTTCATCATAGGTTGAACTGTAATAAGGAGGTTTATGTAAAGCTAAATTTTTCCTGAAAACCTCACATTGGTACCATTTGTTTCTGACCTTACCAGGGGGACAGACACATTCAACGTACTTATTACCATTCACCGTGGACTCAATACATTCCATTCCAACGGGACAATCTCCTCCATCTGATGAGCAATCTCTTTCTCTGCATGAATCACCTCTCCATCCCGGATCGCATCCATCAGGACAGTTTGCAGTTATTTCGTAATTTCCTTTGATTCTGTTTCTGCAGTGAGAATAAGTCGATACTCCTCGTTGGAAGTCGTATTGGAAGCGTGTTGCGAATATGGTTATTTTTTCCTCATGACCTTGATGATAACATTTGCAAACTTTCGATCCGTCACTTGAGCAGGTATCGCAAATTAATTTTGTGAAGTAGCTACTTCCTGTACCATGTTCTTGAAAGCAACCGCATTTGTTCGACGTGTCAATTTCCTGAAAAAACGTACAATTTGTCTCAAAACAGAAATGTGCGCACATTTCAAATGTGTAAGTGTTTGGTAATGTCATCAAAATGACATCTGTCTGACGTGTTTCAAAACTGGCGTAGTCATCGTGCGTCTTTCGTGGCTTGCTTTTATAAACGGAATATGAGTCCCTTCCACCACAAGCATCTCTATTGGCGCAAAGAACATCACACTGGGATGAAGCCACTGCCGAATCTAACCTTCCAATACAGTTGCATTCTTTTCCACTCTTCAAAGCGATCATATTGTTAATTTCATCTGTGCACTCCAGTGAACATTCATTCACTGAGCCAACTGATGCAACAGTTTTCGTTGAGCTGATGTTTAGATAGCATCCTATGTAAGATTCTTTCAAGTTGATTGCTGCATGGGCTATTGAGAACAAGTTGGCGAAAATAATTAAAAACAAACTGTATGAAAATATCGTTTGATACATTTCGGCCTAAAATTAGCAATGAATTTTCGATACGTTTATTCAAAATATGCTCATTGAACACAAACATTCATTCATTGTGCTAAATGTTTGTTTGTTTATTACTGTTAAAAACCTGATTGTGAGTTCATTATGTACATAGATCAACATAAATTTAAATCTGCCCTTATCTACATTCTTTCATATCGACAACACATATTGGTTGGGCATCTCATCTTGTTTTACAAATCTCACTTATACTCATCATAAACCGATTTTAGAACCTTTTAAAACATTCTAGAACATTCTAGAATGCATTCTAGAACATTCTAGAACATTCCAGAACTTTTTAAAACCTTCTAGAACATTCTAAAAACCTTTTAAAACAATTTAGAACCTTTTAAAACATTCGGGAACATTCCAGAATGCATTCTAGAACATTCCAGAACTTTTTAAAACCTTCTAGAACATTCTAAAAACCTTTTAAAACAATTTAGAACCTTTTAAAACATTCTAGAACATTCTAGAATGCATTCTAGAACATTCTAGAACATTCCAGAACTTTTA